TATCTGCAAATATTCGCAAAACAATGATTTTCTGGAAGCACTGAACAATGTACAATAGCGCCAAACAACACACATCACGGAGGCTCCTCACATTCGGCATTTACCGAGCAGCGAGCTGCTACTCATCCAACCCCAAATAGCTGATGTGTTCGGCGACTATTCGGTCCCTTTGGTATGTCCAAAAGAGCGCCATGTGGTAAGTAGGGCGAGCTTAGAATGTACTCGTATGTCATTCGGAAAATAGCAAGCAACACATCCACACTACTTGTTATTCGGCGAGCGGTTGCTCGCTATTTGCCAAATAACGAAGGTGTACAGCCGCTTTCAGGAATAAGCATTAGTACACAATATATATATATATATATATATATATATATATATATATATATATATATATCGTCAAGTAGTTACGTGTAATCATTTTGAATGTGCGTCAATGAACAATTTCCACCACGACACCACGTTTTTTAATATAATTCTGGAAATCTATGCAACTCACAATGCAACGTTGCGTTCAGGCAAGTCACCCAAGAGAGCATGAGATATTCACACACTCACGCACGTCACAACAACGGCATAATTGCATGTACTTCCACGTATACACGGATACAAACGATCAAGGAAACAAAACTTGTTTCCTTGTCCTGAAATTAAGAAATATTATCTGCAATTGAATATAGCATTAATTAGAAAACAAAAATCCACGTACAAAGGGCAGTCGTGTTATAAGAGATATGACGATGAATTATAAATTCTAGCAATATCATATCAGTGTTAACTGTTGTGGCATCGACAACCCGGATAACTTTTCCTCTCGAGCCCAGCACCACGCAGCCTTGGCAAGGTACGCGTAACCGTTACACGAACGGAGGACTTAAACTGGCACTACCGCGCCGTTCTGATCAAATGAGTAACCTTTCGCGACCACAGAGCAAAAAACTCTTGCTTAAGATATTGCATGCAACGAAGTTGGGGAACACTTCAGAAGCTGCTAACAACGGAAGACCAAGATTAAAGTAATGCGGAATCCATAAAGAGAAGAAAGCCTATCTTCATGTAACTGGATTCTCTGATAATACTTCGGAAGAGAAAAATGCAAGTCTGTTAAAAGCACTTGCCATTGTCACCAATGACAGAAGCAAAAAAGTTCTAAAAAATTAATCTCACAGCAACAAAAAAGGAAATGATAGTTTACATTAAGAGACAGTTACTTTAAATCGTATCAAATAGAACTATGCTAATGCTGAAATTGCTACGAAGTTGATAGCACATTCACTCAAAATGAAATGCTGAAAATTACACTCCACAGCACATTACCTACACTCAAAAGAAAAAAAGTCAACATTAAATCAATGTCGAAATAGTATTTCCTCGTTCATTTCATTATTTTCCACATAGCTACTAAAACACCACTACATTTCAAAGATACTAATTTTTTGCACCCATCGCCTATAAAGACAGTTGGTTATTACGCAACTTTAACATATCTTCATATAACATACAATTATTTATAGGTTAGCAGGTTCGAAATAAACTTCTGCATGCAAATTTTGTTTCTTAAGGTCTCATCACGCAAGCAGTTACTTCTTCACGTGAAGGAGAAAACCATTACTAGTCGTGTTCCTCAACCGCGAATGCAAGGTTAGCAAAACACCATGCCACACGGCATGCCTTGACCTGCATCGTGCACTTCTGCAAATACCGCATCACGACCGGCTAGAAAATCAGAAAACGTACCGTAGAATTAGTGCGCAGCACTGAATTAGGAGTGTGGGGGTAATTCGTGGTTCTAAGAACATTCATTAGCCCTGATTTAGATATCTGCCGGTCCCCGCTTACTTTGTATTTACATCTCTGTAGGTTCAAATTAAAAATGTTATTTATTCAATGTCATGATCGTTTTTGTTTTTTTTTCAGGTTTATATTTTTTAACACAAACTATTGAACTAGAGTGTATGATTTAGCATGTTTTTGTAGATAAGACTTGTTACATGCATCCTAAAAATTTCATAGCTTTAGCATGATTAGTTTTTTAGGTATCCGGAAAACAGATCATAAAAACTATAATTCTCAAAAACAAGCGACGAAGATGGAAGCGTCAGTTCGGCTTACCTTACTACTCTAATGGATGCATGATGCAGCGACGTACCTTTTAAAACATAACTCGAAAACTATTGCAAATTTCAAAATGTATCTAAATAATTAATGCTTAGAAAAAAATGTTTTTCAAAAAACCTAATTCTTTAAGGTCTTAAAGTGTACGTGCCCAATCAGGAAACACAAGTTATAAAAGAAAATACATTACAAAATATCAACAATCTCCCCTTACATTTGGTTAAAGATTCTGTTTTTTCTACTGAAATGAACAAAACATTTCTCCTTTATTGTTCGAACATTCCTTCAGCTTTACGTTCACTGTAGAGTAAAAAAGAAGAAAAAGCGTGAAGCATTTGAAGTTAACGAGACCCAGAAGAAATGCATAGAACCAAAACTACACGTTCCGCGAATGTCGTAGAGAAGGTGAAAGTGTTGCTTCACGCTCGACTACTCAGCAGCGTCACTTCAGAGGAGCGATGTCATGTCGTGCTAGACATCCTCCGGTCGTGCTAGGCATCTTCAAACAGTTGGTCAGAATGGTATTGGCGTATTAACCATTCATGATTAATTTCGTTAGCCATTCTTCACTATCAATTGATTAAGCAGCAGTTTTAATACAACACAAAACTCTGAGTCCTATAGACGCGATTACTGTCGGCGCTCCCTATGTACGCCGCCTATTATTCAATGTCACTCTATGGAGAAGTATGCTTCAACAGGTGCAAGAACGCATTGCACACCAGTATCCAGACGTACGAGCCTGGTATTTTTACCAAGATTTTAATGAAGAGACCATGTACTAGGATGAAGACATGGTACTTTTAAATATCGTGATTTTAAGTCGTTAATTGATGATGTACAATTTAATATTCGTTTAGCTTTTTTTTTATTCATCAGTTTAAACCTAACACAAATATTTCAAACAACTATGACATTGGTTAAAATACTGCTGTAAAACATTAGGGTGACATAAGTTGGTCTTTCTCTACATGCTTGGTCACATGCTACAGTACAAAAAGATACAATATGCGGTCCAGATGGCCGAGATCGTTAAGGCAGTAATGTTGTAGCGATCTCGAACCGAAAGATCGTGAGTTCGAGTTTCGCCTCTGGCATGGTTGTATTTGTGTTAGTACTTTGACATTCAATTATCACCATATCATATCACCTTCAAAGTTACAATACCGTTAAATGCAATAGTGGTCGCTAATCACGTAGATGTTGATGTGACGTTAAATAAAAAAATACACAATGTTCTATTTTTTTCATTTAGTATATCGATATATCATTAATCGATATCGAGTGAAATTAAACGAACATCCTGTGCCAGGTAAAACATAATGGTTATAATTTAGATAATTTCAGAATTCAAAACAATTGCCAATGGTACCAGGATATACATTTACTCATCTGGCAACCCTGTTGCTCACATATGGTGTCAGTTCTTGGCTTTCATCAAAGTGTGAAAAGATGTTGCAGAAGCCGGAATAAGAGACGAACTTCGATTTTTCATCAATGTGAACGCCACACATCTTTCATAATGTAGCACTCGAAAAAATGATTGCCTGCAACACACGCCAAGATCGCATATGTGGTTTCTGCTAGATGTTAAGAGTTCGACTTCCAGCACTCTTATTAAATCTTAATCGAAACGATGACAGGAAAAAAGCCCAAAGTATACATAGATTTGTATTATTTCCTGGTGCTACAAGGTACATGCTACTAGGTGCTACAAGTACCAGCGAAACATTTATGTGTCGTCTGGGAATCTAGCCTCCCCCAGATCAATGTTGTACACCCTTAAAATGTAATCTATTCGTTGCATTGTTTCTGAATATATTTGTTTCTTACGAGTTGGGCATCTTGCAACTAAATTTCTTACATAAACAGCAGTGTTATAATGCAGCCTCAGAATAACGAGGTTTCCCCTGTCTTTCAGCAAATTTTACGGGAAAGCGTTTTACAAGATTGACATTGTCTAATTTGGAAAAATTAAAATAAGTTTGATTATAGGTTTTCTACACATCTAATTTGAAAACCGTTTCAATACTTTGTAGATTTGACAATAGAGAAGTAGATGACAAAACATTTTCGCCAAAACTGTCAGAAAGAACCCTGTCATTCTGGGGCCACTCCGTCAACACCATTCAACTGGTATCACAATTTCCATGTTCCTGCCGTAGTCTAACACGTAGTCTGTGCGTGACAGCGGTTGCAGGGCGAGCGCGACGCCATGGACGCGCAGGCGCTCAACGCCACGCTGAGCCGCGCGCTGGCGCAGCAGGTGAACGCGACGGCGGGGGCGGCCAACGCCACGGCCACGTGCGCCGCCGTGCTCAACCTGACGACGGCGTTCCTGGCGCTGGTGGGCGCGCTGCGCGACAACGCGACGGCGCCGGCGCAGGCGCAGGCGGAGCGCCCGCCGCCGCCGGGCGACGCCTTCGACTTCGTGGTGGTGGGCGCCGGCTCGGCCGGCTGCGCGCTCGCCGCCCGCCTCAGCGAGACGCCGCGCTGGCGCGTGCTGCTGCTCGAGGCCGGCGGCGAGGAGCCCTTCCGCGCCCACGTGCCGCCCTTCACGCCCTTCCTGCAGGTGCGCACCGATTCCTGCTTATCTGATTCAATTTTGCTCAATGGCATTAGGGAACAGCTCGCGTATTTGTGTACGTCCAATACAGGAAAGGAGGGGGAGAAATGGGCAAAGAGCGGGAGAGGGGGTGGGATGGAATTCGCTCATTGCGATCCAGTTTCCAGGTATTGGCTCTGTCACTTCATATCATGAGATGTAGAGATCGACGGTGAAGGGTTTGAGTAGAGATATTGCAAAAGATAGTTAGGAAATACGACGGTAAACAAGAGTAGGTCCGAACAAAAAAAAATGGGTATTGTTCATTAAACACCCACAGATGGGATGTTCACACGTAAGGCTGCTGTTGGTACGTTACTAGAAGATAAAAAATTACTCGGGTCGAAATACTCAAGAGACATTTCTCTGGGATACTAAGACAATTTCATTAAAATAGTAAACTTGCTTTCGATTTTAGAGAACGTAACATTGCTAACATTTACAGAGCGTAACGCAATCCCTTCCACCAAATGTGAACAGAGAAAGCAAATCTCTGTTGACGTACGACCTTTCAACATGAGTGGTTTTAGCAGAGCGAAATGTGCGTATCCGATAATGAATGTCACCACGACTTTCACTATCCCGGAAATGAGGTTGTTCCTTAGATTGGAATCAGAAGGTAATATTTAACCGCTTAGTGTAATGAGTGTTAGAAAACCTATTACAATTTCAAAATTTATAGCAAAAAATGTATATTTTTATAATGCATTTATGATACATTTATGATGTTTAAATTGCTGGGTAATGATAAGAAATAAATTACGAAAACAGGAAATTGTCGAGAGGCTCGTTTTTCTTTGCTAAATTTAACAAGACCTATTTCGTTACGTATAAGTAAATAAATAAAGAGAATGAAATAAATGAGGGCAGGCAAGAAATAGACTTGAGAACGGTCAGCAGAGATAACTCCTTACTTATTCAATTCTGTTAAATGTATAAAATGACGGAAGTATAGTATCCTTTCATATTACTAATTGCCGGATAATGTTCGAGAACGGATTAGTGTTTCTAGTCAACGAAGTTATTTTTTCTACCGGTTTCGTCCTTCGTCTACGTATTCACATTCTTAGAGACTGTTCTCGAGAAATCACAGCGAAAACTACAATCGCAATACAAGTAAGGTTTCATTGTTGTGCAGCGAGCCGCCAGCAGAGGCGATAAGGGCGATGGAATGAAGAGAGGGGACGAGAGAGGTCCTGACGTTCCCCAGGACATTTCCCGGGCCGCGGGAGATGGAAAGAAGTGAGGGATCAAGGGAGAAAGTAGGCCTGGCGATGCACCTGTCCTGATATCTAGCTCTCGCTGTCAAACCTTCTCTACCCCTAGCTCTGACGCTTGAAGCCTTAGGGGCGTGTCGCTGGTCTGCCGCTGCAGGGCAACGAGTCGGAGGTGGACTGGGGCTTCCGCACGCAGCCGGGCGAGCGCGCGTGCGGCGGGCGCGGGTGCGAGTGGCCGCGCGGGAAGGCGCTGGGCGGCAGCAGCATACTCAGCGGCATGGTGTACGCGCGCGGCAACCGGCGCGACTACGACCGCTGGGCCGAGCTGGGCAACGTGGGCTGGGCGTATGAGGACGTGGCCCCCTACTTCCTGCGCTCGGAGGACAACCGCGACGCGTCGATCGCCAACACCAGCTTCCACGCCACGGGCGGCCCGCTCACCGTCGAGCGCCTGCGCTACCAGGACATCAACGTGCGAGCACTTATGCACGCCTTCAGGGAGATGGGTTACCAAGAGGTATTCTACTTTGCGCACAAGTAGCACTAAACCCGTACGTAGAAGTCAGATATGATTGTAATTGCGATATGAGTGATGTACGACAAACGAGTCACCTCAACTCAGATTTTAATATAATAAACCAAATTACGAATGTCCACAAGTACATCTTCGCGTTTTCAAATTCAACGTCTGTGATATCATCGCATGTGACTAATGATATAATAATTCCCAGCGGTTTATTGCATTTGCCTCGGTGCAAACTTAATTCCCGATTTCATCCGTTTTCCACACCCATTCATTTGTTAGAAAAGTAACTGAGCTTGCAAAAATCCGTGTTATGATGTGAGCAGCTCAGCACACATCAAACATAATCCAACATTGCCAACACCAAAAACATTAGTCTAAACATACTCGAGTTTCAAAATTCAGTTACCTTTGTGGCATCATTTTATGCGTCATTTCGAGTAGACATTCCCTGATATTCGTTGTATTTCCCACAGATGCTACCTTGATACTAATTTTCATCCAATTTATAACCCGATTTAATCAAGAATCTATTAGTAGCTGCAACGGCGTACCTCTCCCTCCCTCCGCGGTATCAGACCATGCAGCATAAACCCCCTTGTCGTTTAGTGAGTTGTGCGTGGGCGCGCGCTGCACAGGTGGACGTGAACGGCGAGCAGCAGGAGGGCGTGATGCGCGCGCAGACCACGTCGCGCACGGGGGAGCGCCTCAGCGCCAACCGCGCGTTCCTGCGGCCCGCGCGAACCAACCGCACCAACCTGCGCGTGGTGACGCGCGCGCGGGTCACGCGCGTGCTCATCGACCCGGCCACGCGCGTCGCCTACGGCGTGCAGTACGTGCTCGACGCAGATCGCAACCGCACGCTGCAGGCCAACGCCACCAAGGTACGCACACCGCGACTCTGAAGAAAGTCACGATGCCATTAGCCCAGTTTTCGCCAGACATCCCACAGTATCGCAAAAGGCACAGGGCACTTACAATCCGTTCTACCGCAAACATACCGCTTTTGAAATTATTTCATCCTGAAACATCGATTTGATGTGATTCAAAGGGTTAATTATAGAGGAAAATAAATGAAAACCGGTAAATTGAATAAACCTTCCAATTGAGTCAAATTATGGAAGAGGGTATATATGCCTCTGAAGTAGCGATCCAGTCTCTAAAGTCATAAACATTAGGGGAAAATTACCCTTTCGTATTAAAACTTTAAACAAGAGTAAAAACATACTTAAAGGTCAATTGCTCGTACTTCCCTTATAATACCTTCACTATAAATGACAAATTGTTGAAAAATATATGCTATAAAAGTACAGAATTGTGCATTTACCGCGTTTTTCACTTCTTTTACGACATCGAAGAATTAGTTATTTCTTTATGACCGGACACAACCTGGGTGAGAGGCGAAAGACAGGATATATTACATCACATCACAAACTGTTGAAACCAACCACTGTGACTAATACATTAGTTCCCGTTGATGTAAGTATTCTTACGAATATGCGTATCGCCAATAGCTATACAATTGCCCTCAAACCATTGATAGAAAAAAAACGAACTACAAGGGAAAGTAATCACTTTTGGCACCATGAGAGGCATTTAGAATTGATTTATAGTATTGCAGATTTTTATTTTGAAACAGTGTATGGCTACAATTTGTTCATTCTGATCATTTCCATTTTTAAGCCGTAAGCCCTTAACATATGTAACATTTTTGTAATTCATCAATTTGAGAAGAATTTCAGAAATTAGAAAATTGCAAGGTATTTTAAAAAATGCATTGTGTCTATCTCGTATGTTACGATAAAAGAAAGTGGACGTTAAATGTGAAAATGGATTACCACGAAGTATAATATTTGATCCCATGGGAATCTGAGCCCGGGATCTTCTTTTATTAAGACAGATGTTCTAATCGAGCAAGCAACGGAATCAAACACTGTATTCGAGGGAATTTAATAGTATTTTATGGATGAGCGACCTTGTTCTCCTTCACCCTTTGTACTGTAAGCGCAGGAGGTGCTGGTGAGCGCCGGCACGGTGGGGTCGCCGCAGCTGCTGATGCTGTCGGGCGTGGGGCCGAGCGAGTTCCTGCGGCCGCTGGGCATCCGCGTGCTGCAGGACCTGAGCGTGGGCTACAACCTGCAGGACCACGTGAGCGCGGACGGCGTGCGCTTCGCGCTGGGCGCCACGCAGCAGGCGCCGGGCGGCGACGACGGCCGCCTGCAGGACGTGCTGCGCTTCGTGCGCGACGCCGACGGCCCGCTCGCCGCCACGGGCGTCCAGCAGGCAAGCGCCTTGCCCCCCCCCCTCCCACACTCACTCGCCCACTGCGCAGACACCACACATCATTTAACTCCATGCTTTCCACGACGCGATTCTATTTAAAAATATTAAACCGTGCATATAAAATTGCGAACATTAACACAACCATATGCATCATGTGTACTGAATACATTAGGTACAGAAGCTCGCAGAACCCTTCAGCCAAACTCAGAGATATATTTGGCATATAATTTATTCTTTCACTCTACAACATTTTGAATATTCCAAATATTGAAAGTTGTTTCATCGGAGAACATCTCTGATCGATCAAATACCAAACTTAACTCTTCTGACGTTTTAAATGTCCAAATATTTCACAACAAAACTGATTGAGAACTTAACAATATGACACAAAATATCTATTACTATTGATGAATTTTTAATTTTCACTAAAACCAAATAAATACCAAGTTTTACAAATATTTGTTTCTCTTTATTCATTTTTATAATATTCTAATTCATTTTTTTAATATGCTGATTTGATAGTACTTTCCATTAAACATTATATATGCATACGAACAAGACTTTCGTCTGAAAGTCAATAACATTGCCATTATTACTTTGCATTTAGTTAATACTAATAAACATTTGTTCTTGTTTTAAATTCATATACGATAAAAATGTTTAGACGAACGGTTTGCAAGCGCTTTATTATAAGTAAAAGAACAATGGTAAAATTACATGATAATTCGGACAATTAACGAAAGTGCCTGTTATGGCGTTCACGAATCCAAACTGATCTACCCTCCCCCTTCAGAAGTATATCTCTCTTTCCAGTAGCACTGACATATTGCATTATCAACAGGTGACGGCCTTCACGCGCTCGCAGTACGAGAGCGCCAACGGCAGCTGGCCTGACATCCAGTACCACTTCGTCTCCGCCGTGGAGCCGGCGGCCGCATACAACGCCAACGCCAGCGCCGCCTGCGCCAACGCGACGCGCCCTCTGGAGCCCACGTGCTACTACAACCGCATCGTGGTGCGGCCGGCCGTACTGCGGCCGCGCAGCCGGGGACTCCTGCTGCTCAACTCCACCGACCCCTTCGACCCGCCGCGCATCTTCCCCAACTACCTGTCGGAGCCACGCGACATGGAGGTGCTGCTGGAGGGGCTGGTGTTCGCCGCCCGCCTCTCCCAGACCCGGGTGCTGCGTGACATGGGCTACGCGCTGGACACCACGCCCCTGCCACTTTGCGCCGGGGAGCGCTTCGGCTCCTTCGCCTACTGGCGCTGCGTCGCCATGCAGTACACCGCCTCGCTCTTCCACCCGGTGGGCACCTGCAAGATGGGGCCGGCCTTCGACCTCAACGCCGTCGTCGACCCAGAGCTCAAGGTGTACGGCATCCGGCGCCTGCGCGTCGTCGACGCCTCCGTCATGCCGCACATCGTCTCGGGCAACACCAACGCGCCCGTGATCATGATCGCCGAGAAGGCGGCCGACATGATCAGGCGGCGCTGGCTGTGGATCGAGCAAGGTCGGGCGGAGGACACCAACATCACGGTGCCCATGCAGCCGGGCATCATACAGACGCCCACGCGCCCGCCGCGCCTCACCGTGCCCACGACGCTGCCGCCGCCCAACGCGACAACCACCACCGCCGCTACCACCACGCGGCCCGCGGCGACCGCCTCGTCCAACGCCACAGCGGCGCCAGCACCAGCCCCGGCGACCGCCTCGTCCAACGTCACAGCGGCCCCAGCGCCAGCGCCAGCCCCGACGCCGGCCGTCAACGCCAGTGCGCCACCGCCCCGCTCGCAGAACACCGCCGCCCTGCCCGGCGGCGACCCGGGCTTCTTCGGGCGCTTCGTCACCAACATCCTCAAGGCGCTGGAGGTTCTGCAGGCGACCGGCGGCGGCACCGCCGCCCTCGCCCCCTTCGCGCCGCCCAACGACACCGAGAACTTCGTCGTCACGGACAATCGCCGAATCGAGAAGGAGACCGAGTCGCGCAACGTGTCCGACAAGGTGCGCGGCTTCCTCATCAACTTCGGATACTGATCCTAGTCCCGGCGCCGCGCCCGCGGGGCCTCGGGGCTCCCGCTGGCGGCCAGCGAATCGAGTGCCAAATCAACACTATGTTCACTGTTGCAAGAAACGAACAAGTCTTAAGTGCGAGTTCAAGTGCAGTAATCTTTCTCTGTGAATCAAAACGTTTTCTTGAATAACTGCATTACAGAAAATAAATATAAAATAATATAAGCATGCGTTCTTGCTATGTTTTGATGAAGACATCTTGTGAATCAACAACGAGGGACAGTACATGAAAGACTTCCAATAGAAAAGTCGAACTAGCTAAGTTATTTGTAATAAATGTATTATATATAAATATGAACTAAATTTAAAAAATCTAACGCAAATCTCAAATAACTATTAATGGCGGCTAGTCAAGAGTTGTGAAACGTATTATATCTGGCAGCCACCTAATATTCTGGTATACACTCTAAATTACACAAGAAACCACATTTGCAACAAAGCAATTGTAGCCCCCAATTTGTTACACGAAATGGTAACTACACCTGCCCCCCCTCTTCAAGTTATAGGTGCCCGCCACCTTCGTGCCGCACCTGCACCGGTGCGGCCACGCTCGCTTGAGCTCCGATGCACCTTACGTAACGCCGGACTTCTTCGTTCCTTCTTCCACGACGAAACCCGATTGCGGCGTCCCGGCTAAGGGGTCGCAGGGCAAGAAACCATGAATCGAACTCGATGAGGAACTCCGATGCCGATTCAAAAGATTTCTAACGACTCACGCGATTTTACAAAAAACCGAAGCAGCGCAGCGCAGCCCAGCCATTGCAGCACGGCAAAAGACCTATTTCCTCAATCGAAGCTATCCTACTAACAAAACCGACTTTTCTTCAATATTTTTCCGAATTCCGTCAAGTACTATTAATTTCTTTTTAACCGTATGCACATCGGTGTCGTCGAGCGTTGGCTTTCCAGGCATCATCGGTTTCCGCATTCGAGAAGCCAGAGGCCGCAGCTGCGCCGCGGCGGGCCTGCCCCCTCTGGCTGCCACCGCGATCGCCTCCTGGGGCAAGTTGGCCCCGAGAAAGTTCCGGTGCCGCGCGCCGATTGCCCAAGCGACTGCCGCGAACAGCCGTCGCGTCGCGGGCCACGGGGCAGATCAGCGCGACCGCCCGCCCACGCCTCTCACTGCTTTCCCACTTCGCGAAACCGACGCGGGAAGCGGAAGGCCCCATTTGCGACGCCTCGCTCACTTGATCACCGCCAGAACATTGGAAGCTGTTCGTTTTTCAGTTCTAAACGTTAAATCCTACATGGCTTCCTAAATATCTTAACATTTCTCCCAGCAAAGAATTCCCAAAACACATTTAATTTGAGTATGAGTAAGAATGCATGTATCTGCTCTTTCTCGCTCTAATAATATCTGATAAATGATGAGCGAGATATTAGAAAGTTTTGAAATATATTAAGTATATGACATTTCACGCTCAAGTAATTCAAAAATGACCTAAAAATGGTGACAACTAGATTTTTTTTCGGAATGTGTTGTTTTTAATCCAAGAAGACGCTTGTACCAGTTGGACAATCATTCGACAGTCGACATCCATCAGTCGATAATTCCATTTAGTATGTTTCAAAATTAAAATAAATTTACGTAGGGAATTTTCATTTTGAGTATATATCTTTCTTCACAAAAATAAAGTAAATAGTTGCAAAAACCAACATGTCAATATTACAAATCATACGTCCCTCTACAGACGCATTTAATAAAGAAACTCAATCCAAACATAATATACGCTCTTTCTCATTCAGAGGAAAGTGTTTGCAGTGTCATCTCGCTCGAAAGACACAAAAAGTCGTTGTCAGGGTTTGTTCATCGAGAACCAGACGGCAGGTTGTAGAAGGAAAGCCGCCCGCTCGTCCACAGAGAAAGCCCCGCTGAGTCGACGAGTCCCCCCCCCCCTCGAAGGCGATGGGAAGAGATCGAGAGGCGAAGGCCTGGCATTAACGCGAATGAAGGATATTACGCACGAGACATCACAGTCGCAGTGCATCAGCGTACAAAACTTTTACATTTAAAAAGCTCAATCGCATTTTTTCATAACATTTTTCCATATAATTTGCAGTTTTAGATCATATAGATTTAAATAAAAAATATTAAAAACTTCAAATAAAAAAACTTAACGTATAAAACTGATTTAAAGCCACAATAGCAGCATTGAAAAATGAAAGGGTATTTAATAAGATTAAATAAGTGCAACTGTGTATTCACACACTAAACCCCAAACTGTAGTGGCAAAGAAGTCAGAGAAATTATGTTGAAAATGGCTAGCGACAGAGTTAAACATTTATTATTTTCGTAAATCTACAAGAGGAAGTTCGCATAGTTTCTAGTTCATGCAAATAAACGAACGCGTCCGTAAAAAATGTTCAATCTTTTCACTCATGAGGGTTTTTGGAAAAGCATACATGTACGTTCCAAATTTTCCAAAACAATAAACCTGCACATCGATATATATTAATTTATTTACGGGCCCTAAATTTTTTGTCAGATAAGCTTCCATCTGAGAATTCATTTGCGTCCTTTGGGACAAGTCTGAGTAAAATCTGAGAACAGGGAACGGCATTTATTCTGGCTAAAGAAGGGGGGTGATAAAAGGCATGTAACATTGAAAAATCGCGATTTTAAATAAATTGTATTAATTAAAATAATTCCGATTTTATTACAACTCAAAGTTTACTTCAGCACTTACATGAAAGGAAATTATTTTTTTTTCTTTGTAACATTGACTACACATGACCACCCAGTATTATGAGAATATTTCACTCGCAACGCTATCTCTACGAAAAGCTATTGTGGACCCCCGTTGGAATCTGGGAATAGCGTCAGTGAAGAATCAGTTATTGTTTCCATTCTTGTATACCCGCCAGCACTAAATAGGGTCGCATCGTCTATCGCATAAAGAGAGATCTCTCCTCAAAAAGAGATCGAATGCCACAGTCAAATGTAGGATGGGAATCCTCATAAACGTAAAACGTCTTTGTCGGTATCAATGAAAGAAATAAAAATACTTTATTTTCATAATTTCCCTTATTTAGTTTTTAATACTATATACGGTCTCTGAGTATTTGCTTGTAAGGAAAGACTAAACAAACGTCACAGTGATGTTGTTCAGGCTTGCAGGTATGATTCCAGCTTGACCAAGATCCATGCCAGGAGAAAAAAATAGGGAAAAAGATATTTAAAAGGCAAAAATAAAGGGAAATGCTAGAAACAGGCACCAGAAGCTAAAATAGGCGAAAAAGGGGAAAATGAAAATCTACTAACACAAGTCCAGAAGTAATTGGATATTTGGCTGTCCGGGGTGAGCCGCGTTGAAAGTCGATTGAGCTGACCTTTCGGTCATGGTGTAGTGACTTTCTTCTTAGATCTGTACTGCTGATATGATCATTATAGAAGGTCACAACACGATGGCCAGAACGTCAGCCCAATCGACTGAGATGCGGTTCACCCCTTTTAGGCAAGTATCCAATGACTCCGGCCGCGAACGTCTTACGAACACAAGTAAAATTAAACGATTCTTTTAATATTAAGTCACACAATTATTACAAAAATAAAAATGCATTTTGCCAAATTTCAGGACACTACTCATAACAAAGGCTGGGAGTATAGAGCACAGGATGAAGTGCTGTGGATCATGGATATGAGCCGGCGAAGCAATGAATTCTGCTGGATGAACGCGTCCAATCGCCATGCTCCTTCCCGCCGCGACGGCTGTCATTCCATCCGTAGTCTACGCTCTCGTTCATTGAAACTCAAATCATCTTTCCTCCTCTGTAAGCCTTGTTATGTCTTTGTCTTTCTGCTTTATTTTCATGCAAAGAAACAATTCACGGAAATTAGTTTTTCATAAACGGTTTTCTCACATTCCTCTTCTTAAGTTTTACAGGTTTTGTTTTAATTGGCACAGTTTGCTACTGCTACTGCTACTGCCATTGCCATTGCCATTGTCATTGACTGTCATTGACTTTGTCATTGTCATTCCCATCTTCTTGCATCTGCGTTGAGATTCTCCAACATACTTCGGCCGCTCCTCTCGCATTCTGTATTGAGTATTCCCTCCCTCCAACTTCATTGGGTTTCTATTTCTCTTTCTATTTTCTCCATTTAATGAAAAACTGCTCCTTTTCTCCGCCTTTGGATTTTGTCAAGTCGTTGCCTTCGTACCAGTAGTCCTCCTAATTGTTTTAGTCATCCATTCCAAGATATTTCTTAAAACAAACCCATATGCATATGCGAATTACGAAACAATTCTACAAAATCAGCTTTTCAGGTAAGCAACATTTTCTATTTACCGCCTTCTTCCACTGACACCGGAAACACTGCCGTTTTTAAGAGGCTGATTGTGCATCCACCAGAGGGCGTCAATACCCACGTGCACAAAGCGCCAAGTATGCGGCACTGCTACGTAGTGCGCTCCGCGCCCGCGGAGTGTGCTGCAATCGCTCGCCACCCACACCGAACAAGGTCGTGGGAGGCAGCGCGCTCTCGCACCATTCCACAGCAGCGCTTACAACCGCGAGAGGTCGATCCCAGTAAGCGAGCGATCCCAGTATCGACTGCGTACTCACGGCAGCTGAAGAAAGCGCTTGTTTCAAAGATGGTCTGCCGCTCCTTACCTGCAAACACAAAGAAAGCTAAGTTTAGCGTCGACATTAGCAACAGCAGCTGCTTTTCACAATGCAAGCAAGTTTCTAAGGAAGACGGTCGTATATTCAAAAGTTTGATTTGAATGAAGTCTTCATTTTTTTAATATAAAAGATTGCTAGTTTAAGCGGAAGACCTACCAACTGCAATGCAAGTGTTCTTTACAGGGAGAGGTGTAAAGATAAAACATTTGAGTTCGTCACTAAGATCAACATTGTCTTTTTTCCCTTATTTTTTCGATTCGTTTCGTAACGTTTCATATTTTGTCTTCAATGTTAGAATAATGTTAAGAAATGATTATTTTATGGGCGTGTTCCATGAT